ATTTCAAACTATATTTATTTATATTACAAATGACTCATTCCTTTTTTGCCTGATTTCTAACTTGTTCTGCAAAATGGTTTTTGTTTCTGAATAAGGTGCGCAAATTAGTTTTTAGAAAAGTTTGCAACTAATCTTCAATTAATGAGAGGGGAAAAATACGTGAAAATATAATCATATACATTTCACCATTACACTTCACATAGAAATTATTTTATAGATATTAAAACAAGGTATTTTTTCGAAAGATATTAAAATAAGCTATAGCAATAGCTTTTTTATTTTTGATAATGATAATTATAAATGGCTCATTTCTTTATATTTCTTCTTTTTAATTCGTTCTAGAAAATGGCTTTAGTTTCCAAATAAGGTATAGCCAGATTTTATCCTTTGAAAAGTTTGCAACTAATTTGCAGTTAATGAGAAGGTCAAATAACATGAAGATATATTTAACTATTATACTTCAGGTAGAAGTTTCCTTTTATATATATATTTAAATCAGATATTACAATTTTTAACTTAATAATTATAATTATAATGTTCATTTCTTCTTATGTCGTATTTTTCTATTTGTTCTGAGAATTTTTTTGGTTTTTAAATAAAGGAGGCCATGTTTTGTCTTTTTTTGGAAATAGAAAAGTTTGCAATTGGCAAACTTTTATGGGAAAAGTGTGTATAATTTTGAAGGATGTAAAGTTGTGTCATTTTAAGAGAGAGAAAGAGATAGATAAAGGAGGAGAGAGAGTTGACAAAAAAAATAAAGTTGTGGGTCCCACCTCTTTGTGAGAGTGAAAGGATGTAAGTTGTGTAATTTAAATGTATAGACACTTTTCCCAACTTTTATATTTGATTGTTACACTTCAGATGTTTTTTTAATAATATACGAAAGAGTAATTTTATATTCCCTTAAAAAGATTTCACGCATCATCCTAATTTTTAAAAATATTATGCATTAAATGAAAAATTAAAATGCCTAATTTTTAAAAATTTAAAATATTTTTAAACGATTAAGATAACTTATTAGGTTGATATAAAATTGTTCATATTAATCAAATTAGGAATTTATTAACAATTGTCCTAAGTCAATACATTGGATAATAAATTAAGATACAAAATATTGAATAAAAAATATCACTTGATATATTAAATATTTAAAATATTTTAATGCTTTCCTTTAAAAGAGTAGTGTTATATTCTCTTAAAAACATTTCATGAATCATCCTAATTCTTTAAAATAGTGTGTATCAAATGAAAATAAATATTTTATATTTTAAAAATTTTGAAAACAAAATATTCTGTTTTTTGAATAATTAAGAGAATTTATAAGGATAATATAAAATTATCCATATTAAAAGTATTTTTTTTTCTTAACAAATGCTAAAAATATTAGCAATTTATCAACAATTGTCCTAAGGTCAAGACATTGGCTAAGAAATTAAGATAGAAACTATTAAATGAAAAAATATTTCAATGTATTATTTTTTTAAATTAATACTTTACTTTAAATAATGGTGTAATTATTGAGTGTCCTAAGGATACCGATCAAGAAAATGTATCTAGTAATTACGAAAAGGTAATAAATAATTTCTAAATTCCTAATATATTATTTTTAATGAATGAGTTCTCAATATATTAAATAATTTTCATTTTTTCAATTTTTATTTATTAACTATGATTTTAAGATATTCATTAACTAGTTTCAAAAAATTAAAAACAAATCTGGTATTGTACCTTTTTCTATTCAAATTTGCATGAAAAATTGAACACGTGAATTTTATTTCAGTTTCAAACACCCTCACCAGTTTTATGATGTTTCGTAACAAGAAAATTCATGACATTTTTTTTTATATTTGTCTCAGTTTTATCTAAAAGCATCCTTATCTCATATTGTTATTTATTTTTGGAAAAAATGTGTATTATTTTAGAGGAAGTAAAGTTGTGTCATTTTAAATTAAAGAAAAAATAGATAAGTAGAAGAGAGTGGACAAAAAAATAAAGATACGAGTCCCACATTTTTATGAGAGTGAAATAACATAAGTTGTGTCATTTAAAATAATAAATACTTTTATCTTTATTTTTCATTAATTAATAACTCAAACGTGAATAGAATAATTAATAAATACAGTAGATTGTGTAAAAGACAAATTTTATCTTTAATTATAAGAATCCATCTATTTGGGTGATGATATAATAATTTGTTTTAAACATAGATATTACTATTTTTTTTGTCTTTGTAATAGAATCATTAAGAGACAGTGTGTGACATTCTAAAAGTTATTTTTAAATTAAAGTAGAAAAGACCTTTAAAAATAAAATTATAAGCTATTTGATAATGATATAAAATTTTTAACTTAAAAATTATATATATTAAAAAAAGTATACATTTCAAAAAAGTTAATATAACTTAAAAAAAAAGACTGTTTTTAGAAACTTTTTACTTTTAATTTTTTTATTTTAACATAATTTTTTTTTTGGTATCCCATAATTTTTTTTATTATAAGAACATTTGTAAAAATTTGTTTAATTTAACTTCTACTTATACGAAGAGAAGTTAAAAAAAAGAAAAAATATTTATTATTTTAAATAATATAAAATTATGTCATTCTAGTAGAGAGATAGACATAAAACAAAAAAATTTATTTAAAATTCAAATTAAAAAAAAAACATCCACTTTCTTCACTATGATTTTCATTTTTTATGTCTATCTCTCTTAAAATGATATAATTTATGCTATTTAAAATGACAAATATCATATCCTAAAAAAATACCTCCTGTATATTAGCATTTTGCAATAATTGTTTTTTGTTGTTGGTATTTTAAGCATTTATTGTTAACAGAATGAAAAGATAACATTGGAATTTTAAAATTAACAACAGATAATGATTTTATATCCTTAGAAAACAATAAACATATTTTAATATCAGTTGATATTGAAACAATATGGTAATAAAAGCATCCATGGAATTTTTTTAAAAAGAAAATCATGAAAAATTAAACAGACACATGTTGCTTAGATAGTGTTTTAAAAGCTTATTATTACAACCCACACTAACTGTGCCTGACTATTCTCTTACCTGTAATTATTATTATTATTATTATTTTTATATTTCAAAGCCAACTAACACCCTTTTCTTTCTCTTTCTCTGTCAGAAGACTCCAAAAAAGTAAGAAAAGAAAAAAACCTGTGTTGTTGTATTGTCTGATTTTCCATATTTTAAATTTTAAAATTAAAATTTTTATATTTCTCTTTTATTTTATATTTTAAAAATTTTGAAAACAAAATATTCTGTTTTTTGAATAATTAAGAGAATTTTTTATGATAATATAAGTATTTTTTTCTTAACAAACTAGTATATTACTCCTGCGATGCACGAGGAAAAAAGATCAAAATTTTTATCGTCCGCCGTGGTTGGTTAATCGCACTGCAAATTTTATATTTACAAAAAATTATGTTGTTATTTTGTTCTATATTTCAGGTAAAAAAAATTTACAGCATTGACACAGAGTTTTGCAAATATCAACCACAAACAAAAATCTGTTATTCAGAGGGATAATTAATTTTGCATACAACTACATCATAATACACCATAATACGTTATAATACACCATGTTAACATGCTAAAGGGATATAAAAAGAAAAATGCATACAAATATTAAGAATTTATCAACAATTGTCCTAAAGTCAAGACATTGGCTAAGAAATTAAGATAGAAACTATTAAATGAAAAAATATTTCAATGTATTATTTTTTAGATTAATACTTTACTTTAAATAATGGTGTTATATTGAGTGTCCTGAGGATACCGATCAAGAAAATGTATCTAGTAATTACAAAAAAGTAATAAATAATTTCTAAATTCCTAATATATTATTTTTAACGAATGAGTTCTCAATATATTAAATACTTTTCATTTTTTCTATTTTTTATTTATTAACTATGATTTTAAGATATTCATTAACTAGTATTGTACTTTGTTTTTTCAAATTTTCATAAAAAATTGAACACATGAATTTTATTTCAGTTTCAAACACCCTTACCCGTTTTATGATGCTTCATAACAAGAAAATTCATGACATTTTTTTTTTTATATTTGTCTCAGTTTTATCTAAAAGCATCCTTATCTCATATTGATATTTATTTTTTGTAAATTAATAAATCAAACGTGAATAGAATAATTAATAAATAAAGCAGATTGTGTAAAAGATAAATATTTATCTCTAATTATAAGAATCCATCTATTTGGGTGATGATATAATTTATTTTAAATATAGATATAACTATTATTTTGTCTCAGTAATACAACCATTATGAGATGGTGTTTGACACCCTAAATGTTATTTTTAAGTTAAAGTAAAAAAAAGCTTTAAAAATGAAATTATAAAATATTTGACAATTACATGAAATATTTAACTTAAAAATCACATAGAAATTGTTTATTTTAAAAAAAGTTAATATAACTTAAAAAAAAGGTCTTCTAAGAAACTTTTGGCTTTTAACTTTTTTTATTATAAAAAAATTCTTTTTATTATAAGAACATTTATAAAAATTTGTTTAATTTAATTTCTACTTATAAAAAGAAGAGAAATTAAAAAAAAAACTCCCAAACATTATGTATATTAGCATTTTGCAATAAATTTTTTTGTTGTTGGTATTTTAAGCATTTATTGTTAACAGACTGAAAAGATAACATTGGGATTTTAAAATTAACAAAAGATAATGATTTTATATCCTGAGAAAGCATATATTGAAACATATATTTTAATATCAGTTGATATTGAAACAACTATGGTAATAAAAGCATCCATGGAAATCTTAAAATAAAATCATGAAAAATTAAACAGACACATGTTGCTTAGATAGTGTTTTAAAAGCTTGTTATTACAACCCACACTATCTGTGCCTGATTATTCTCTTATCTGTAATTATTATTATTTTATTTTTTATATTTCAAAGCCAACTAACACCCTTTTCTTTCTCTTTCTCTGTCAGAAGACTCCAAAAAAGAAAGAAAAGAAAAAAACCTCTGTTGTTGTATTGTCTGATTTTCTCTCCAAACTAGAGAGCGACCGGCGAGCGTAACCTCGCCGGAAAATCGCTCTACCTTTGCTCGAAGTTTCAGATTTTCCGATTTGGGTGCGAAATTGTGATTATCTTTTTTACTGGCTCCGTAGACAGAACTGTTTTTGTGTGTGGTTGTGTACATTCATTTCTGGGTTTTCTTCTCCTTTCGTTGTGTGGTGAGGAATATCTGAGAAAGCAATGCGGAGAGGGAAGATGGTTTTTGTTGCAGCAGATATCATGGGATCTCCTCTTTATGAATTCTTTATGTTGTAAACCGTTCAAAAGATTCGATTTTTTTGTTATCTCTTTCTTCTCGAGTTTGTTGATAAAGAGTTTGCTGAATTTTGTGGAGAAACAGAGGGAAGGAAGATTTTTGGGGTTTTTGTGCTAGCCTGCTTGTGTTCAAATTGAGAAGGTGCGAATTTGTTAGCTTGAAAAAGTTATGGTTTCTGTGTTTATGTGTTTCTTTTTTTCTTTGGGGGGTGGGGGAATGGCTTTTCTTTGGAATTAGCTTTCTCTTTGGTGCTACTGGTTACGTTCATGTTTTTGATCTGTTAATGTTGTTTAGATTAGCCACCTTTTTGAAAGTTTGTTGTTTTTTTTCTCTTGATCTGTTTATTTTTGAGGTTTTCCCTGTAAAATTCCTTCTTCATCTGTCTAATTTTGGACAGAACCAAGGTGGAGTGTTGTAGAATTAAGGTATATGATTTTTTCATATTTTTTTTTTTTTTAAATTTTTTTTGGTTTCAATACAGGAGAGATGACTTGAAGGGGGAAATGTTTGTTAAAGTTGAATGGGAATTTCCTAATTTCTATGCATGTTTTTGTTTCAATTTCCTACATTTTCTTGGCAATCAGATAGCCAAGCTGTATTAGGTCCTTGTTAGGTGAGAAACGAGTTTTCTTCTTTTCCCTATATCATCATGTGCTGTCCTTTCTTTTGGTAGTGTTTAGTTGAAGATGCAACTAATTTTGGCCTAGTTTTGTACTAATCTCTTTGAGTTTTGGAATCAGGAGCTAGGAAGCGATTCTAATAGGGTTTCATTAGTCTATTTTCTCCCTCTTTTCTTTTCTGTTTGGGGGGAGAAGGTGATGTTATTAGTGTTCTAATTGTTAAGATATATGATTTTTCCTGGGTCTGAAATGGCCTCAGGTTTTCTTTCTGCCAATATCATTTTTGATAGGGATTGCCATATTCATTGTTATCTGTTCTTTCCTTTGTCAAACAAATGACATTGAATTCCCAACAGATGACGAGGAATAGAGCCTAACAAGGCTAGCAAGTGAGGAGCTTTTTCAGCAATATTTCTCTTTCCAGATTTTCTGGACAAGCTGCAGGATGCCTTTTGAAATAATGGACCAGAGGGATGTTTCTGCCTCATCCCACTTTTTTGATGACATTTCCTATGCTTCTGAAGTAATTATTACCTTATCTGTCTCATTTTGGTTTTGTCAAACTTTATCATATGATCTCAAGAAGTTAATGATCTTCAGTTCCATAAAACATTTTACAGTTTAAGACTTCAAACTTCTTTTCCAATATGTTAATCAACTTATCAATGGCCTCGATGCTATTGCCTTTCTGACCTATTGGTTATCTAAACATGTCTCAAACTTTTATGGCAGAGGAATGTTGGATTACGGAAGCCGAAATCCATTCCTGACCATTATCCACAAGGTGAGCTCAATCAAGTCATTATTTTTTCAAAATAGTCCTATATTTTGTATTATTTTCCCTGTTGCAATTATATCATTAATGCTCCGAATATATTAACTAACACATAGTTAAGATTCAGACCTTGAGTGAACTATTTCACACTTCAGTTTAGAAATTGCCAAGTTGCTATTGTTTGAGTTTGGACATGTTAACTTAGTGGAGAGTTCTCACACATATCTTTCTGTATACCTTATATGCTACCTGTCAGGTCTCAATTGGAACGCAGTTATACATTTCCTTTTTTGGACTTTTCAAGCAATAATTATCTCACTTTATGGTCAAGTTTCTTATAAGTGTTCTGTCGCATTCAGAGTAATGATTATCAATGTGTGGCTAACAAATATCCTTTATATTTGTAATTGTCTTAAATTCTAAAACTAGTACATTTATTTCACTTTGTGGTGAATGGTGATAATACTTGGCTATTTTGGTTATATTTGCCCATAGTCATCACACTTTCTGCTCAAGACAATATATAAATTTTTGTTGCTCCTGGAATAATGAATACCTCTTATCAATGTTGCAAATAAGTAATTGACTTCATCTAAAATTAATACTTTTATTTCTGTTTGTTGCAACCTTTACTGAAATGATGTTTTATGATGCATGTATAATTCAAGACCTTGTTCTTGCAACTTTTTGATTGTGGTGTAGCTGGGATAATTAAATGATAATTTCATGAATTTAGATGCTCTGCTCTGCTGGGTGTATGCTCATATGTGCTTTTGGTATGGATGTTACAAGGTTTTGCTGTTTTTTTATCATGATAATTTTTAATGAAGTAATTATGTAACATCTGTGTATATCCATATTTGTTTTTGTTCAGTCATGTTCTCTAAATAAGCAGTTCATTTGCAGAACTTGTAATAAATTTATGGATAAAGTAAATTCTGTATTCAAAATTTCAGGAAAGAGTGAAATGGCGGAATCAGCCGGCAGCATTTTGAATGCTTCATTACCCCTCGAAACAAATCCAAAATCAGGCTTGCCAATGTCGCAGTTTAGTCCATCTAGAGAAATTGCAGAAAACCTACATTTTGGTGGAGAAACAGGCATTATAGATTTGCTGAAGGATTCGAAGAAATCATTGAATTACCATCCAAGATCATGGTCTGATGCTCATATGCAGCCAGCATCTAGCTCATATGGTTTAATTGGGAACAAGGTTGTCACCAATGCTGCCTCACGTGAAAGTAGTCTATTCTCAAGCTCTTTGTCTGAGATATTTAGCCAAAAATGTAAGAATTTGTTTCATGCATGCTAAGATAGCTGTGCACATGTATCATGGGTATTACTGCATAGTGAAGTACTGATGCCTTTTAATATTTTTAATACTTTAGCTGCGAGTTTGTGTTGCATTAATTTGCTTGTGTATCATGTCATCATTCGCAACGCAGAATATATGCTTGTTCTCTTCCCTAATGTAGCAGGACAAACAAGGGCACCTTCCCCCTGTTAAACCCCACCAAAAGGAAGAAATTAAGAATTTTTTCTACTTTTTTTCAGTCTTATGGTTTTACTTTGGTTTTTTGGTTTTACTTAAGTTGAGTTGATTTCCTCATATGTGTCACTGTGTATTTATATTCATATCTTGGTGCAGTGAGGTTATTGGGGAATAATGTTCTGTCTGATCAGCCTATCTTTGGTGGTTTACTTCCTGAGGAAGAACCGTATAAATCTCTTGAAGAAATTGAGGCTGACACTATTGGGAAGCTCCTTCCTGATGAAGATGATCTGTTTTCTGGTGTCACTGATGAGTTAGGATACAGTGCTCATGCTAGAACGAGTGATGATTTTGAAGATTTTGATTTGTTTAGCAGTGGTGGAGGCATGGAGTTGGAAGGAGATGAACATCTAGTTTCAGGAAAAAGAACCAGTTGCGTGGATGGAGATCTTGATTACTTTGGAGCTTCTAAAGGAAAAATTCCTTTTGATGAACAATCTTCTAGAACACTTTTTGTTAGAAACATTAATAGCAATGTAGAAGACTCTGAGCTAAAGGCACTCTTTGAGGTGAATCTTTATTCTTTTATGCTGGTAGATGCTATCTCAGAATTTTCTGGAAGCGTTTCATGCCACTAAAAATGAAATGTAAATGGACTATTTTCTTTGTTTTGGCAGCAATATGGAGATATCCGAACCATTTATACTGCCTGCAGGCATCGTGGGTTTGTTATGATTTCTTATTATGACCTAAGGGCAGCACAAAATGCAATGAAAGCACTTCAAAATAGGTCATTGAGGTCTAGGAAACTTGATATACATTATTCAATTCCAAAGGTAGATTTCTTAAGAACTTCTCATTTATGCATAATTCTTTCTCCATTGTTATCATTTGGGTAAAGTTGGTATTTCTGTTCATCTTATCTCCTTTTAGTATTACTGCTATGTGATTTGCTTGTTCGATTGCTTCATGTTCTTATGCTTTGCTTATAAATATATCTCAAGTCTCAACTTAATGATATGTTAGGGCAATGCTCCAGAGAAGGATATTGGCCATGGTACGCTGATGATATCTGGTGTTGATTCATCTGTTTTGAATGATGAACTCAAACGGATTTTTGGATTTTATGGAGAAATTAAAGAAGTAAGTTGTTCATTGTTGGTCTTCATCCTTTTTTGGTGCTTGTGTTTTGAAAGATTTTATGGGCATCATTAAATATTGTGTCTGTAATTGCAGATCTATGAACATCCTGAAATGAATCATATCAAAAGTATTGAGTTTTATGATGCCCGAGCTGCAGAAGCTTCTCTCAAAGCATTGAATGGGATCTGCATTGCTGGGAAGCACATCACGCTTGAACCTGGCCATCCTAGGATTGCAACATGGTGGCTATTACCACCCTTTTTTTTAATGTTGATTTTTTCTCTAATTTTTAGTAACTTTCGCAACTATTTATCTATTTATGCCTTTAAAATGTGCCTATCTTTGTCAATGTTTTGTAGATGAAGTCTTTGTTTTTTATCTGCATATTCATTTTACCATCTTTTATAGTATTCTCACTTTTAATATATTGCAAAGTCAATATCAATCACTTTGATGGAGAAAATTATTTCCCTTTTTTTTACTTCCTGCTTTTAAGTTAATCATCTTAATTGTTGTGGAAATCTTGCTTTTGTAGTATGATGCAGCAGTCTCAGAAGGGACATGATGAACCTGACTTCGGTCATAATCTCAGTGACAACTTATTATTAAGACAGAAGGGTATGATTTTGTCTGCTTACGAATCTTTTTTCCTTATGATGCTAAAATGTTCTTGGTCTCACTAGACATAATGTACAGCAGCAGTGTCTTCTGGAGTCATTGCATCTGGTGGCAGCTTGGAAAATGGATATAATCAGGGATTTCAATCTGCAACACGGCCACCTTTGAATGCTTTCATTGATAACACATTCTTTCATGTGAATTCTAGCAGTCACAAGACCACAAGAGAGACACCTGCTGGTGTTTGTGAGTCAAATAACGTTGATGCAATGAAATTTGCATCTATTACGAGATTCCATCCTCATTCTTTACCTGAGTATCATGATAGTTTAGCTAATAGTCCTTACAACTTTTCAAGCACCATTAACATGGCTGCCAATGTTGGAACTGGAAGCTCAGAAGTGTCTAACAGCAGGCACAGTCAGGGAATGGGCTCAGCTGGGAACCTAGCAGAATTCAATGCAGGAGGTAAATTTAATGTGCTATGAAAGCTTCACGTAAACCATACTTTATCTGCAACAGTTTCAAAATGATTCCTTGTCTATAGAAAATTGTGATAGGGCGGGACCAATTTATTGCAAAGGTTAAAACCTAGCAGATTTTTTTTTTGGATACAAACGTATCAGAATTTAATGCAGGAGGTAAGTTTAATGTGCTAAGAACTCCTCACGTATAACCTTATTTTATCTGCAACAGTTTTGAAATGGTTCCTTGTCTATAGAAAATTGTGACTGGAAGGGACCGATTTATTGCAAAGGTTAAACTTATTGTTTACTTTAAATGGGATCTAGCAATTTAAAGCATTACAAATGGGCTTGACTGTTACTGTTAATGACGATGCATAGGGTTTTCAATATTTTCATTTTTCTAATAACACCCAAAATATAAATTGCTATTTAAAAGGATAGTTACTGATTTAAATAAATTTAGACTTGCCTACGTGAGTATCTAATATTAAGCATTCAGAATTGAATCTTGGTCTTGGTCTTGAAGTCAGCCTTTCTATAAGATTTAAGTGGTAGAAGCTGGGTAATTGAAACCTGAAGAGATATCTAATGTGGATTTAATAGTTTTATGTGTGATGCTGGTTTGTGTAATTGTGGTTTTATTTTGAACCATCAGGAAATGGGAACCACCCCAATCATGGACTTTATCATATGTGGAATGGGTCCAACGTGCATCAGCAACCTCCATCAAATGCCATGCTTTGGCAGAAAACACCATCCTTTGTTAATGGTGCTTGTGCTCCATGTCTTCCACAAGTTCCTAGCTTTCCTAGAACACCGCCTCATATGCTGAGAGCATCACTTATTGACCACCATGTTGGATCAGCACCAGTTGTTACAGCCTCACCCTGGGAAAGACAACGTTCTTACTTGGGAGAATCTCCTGATGCTTCTGGTTTTAGATTGGGTTCTCTAGGAAGTGCAGGCTTTCATGGTAGCTGGCAGATGCATCCTCCAGATTTTTCTTCTCGCAACATATTTTCTCATGGTGGTGGGAATGGTACTGAGTTGACGTCCAATGCTGGGCTGGGCTCTCCTAAGCAGTTGTCTCATGTTTTCCCTGGGAGACTTCCCTTGACTTCAATGTCAAAATTTGATTCTACCAATGAACGAATGAGAAACCTCTATCATCGCAGAAGTGAAGCAAATACTAACAATGCTGATAAAAAACAGTATGAACTTGACCTCGGTCGCATATTGCGTGGGGAAGACAACCGAACAACGCTTATGATAAAAAATATTCCTAACAAGTACGCCAATTGTTTCCATGTCTTTTTAGACATTTTTGCTGCTTACATTGTTATTTTTTCATCTTCATTTTACAAAAGAACATTGCACTGGCAAGATTGTTAGTTACATAGGTGATTGCTTATTTGGCTCTTGCCCTTTTCATTTTGACGCATTAGCTGTACTAATGCTATCTCTCTCTTTTGCTTGTTTACACTTGCATGGACGCACTTTTACTTTTTACTTACCCTTGCATATTTTAAATGTACTTCTTATACTCATCAATTAGTTTTCCATAACTGATTTCACAGGGAGTAAAGCATGCAAATTCTCTGTCACTGGTCTTTTGATTTGTCCCTTTTCTATTTTAAATTTGTTATATATCTTGGCAGGTATACTTCAAAGATGCTTCTTGCTGCCATAGATGAGCAATGTCGGGGGACTTATGATTTTCTATATTTGCCAATTGATTTCAAGGCAAGTATTTATTTGGAGTTGGTTAACTCTTTTCCTAAATGAAGCAATCATAAATGTGTTTTAAGTCAATTCTACAAATGGTTGCAGAACAAATGCAATGTTGGCTATGCATTCATCAATATGATTGATCCTGTTCAGATTATTCCATTCCACCAGGTTATTTGAGAATTCTTATGCAATACTAATTTGATTTATTTATCTATCCAGCATGAATTCAGAGTCAATCTGTTTCATTTTGTTTACATGAGTTGATAAACCTAATAGATAAGAAACATTATGCAGGCTTTTAATGGGAAAAAATGGGAAAAGTTTAACAGTGAAAAGGTAGCCGTACTTGCATATGCCCGAATTCAAGGAAAATCTGCTCTTATTGCTCATTTCCAGAATTCAAGCCTGATGAATGAAGATAAACGTTGCCGTCCTATTCTCTTCCATACTGATGGACCAAATGCTGGTGATCCGGTAAATCAGCTTGTTCTTTAGTTGTAAATATTTTCCATTTGCTGTCTGCAATGTATTAAGGAACTCCTATTATGGAACTCCTCATATAACCGAGTCAAAATTGACCTAATTTGTCTCTGCAGGAGCCTTTTCCCTTGGGTACCAATATTAGACTGAGGCCTGGAAAATCTCGCATTATTGGTAATGAGGAGAATCGCAGCCAAGGAAATCCTTCAACTTTGGCAAGTGGAGATGAGTTTGCTAATGGAATAGATCCTTCATTGAGTTCTTCAAGAAACTCTGACTGATATAGCATCAGGCACTAACAGTTCAATGTTGCATATCATATCAACTCTCAAGTTTGTATATTTACATTTTCTTTTTGATCAAGAGAGGAGTTGGAGCCGGTAGGAAAAGGGGGCTCACAATTTTTGCCTTATAGAGGAGCCTTGCAAGAGTTGTTGGAGGTTGAGGTACATAACCCGAATGAAAGTATCCGATTCTAGTATTTTCTTTATTTTCCTAAATTTTTGCTTGGAATCCTGCTACCCTCTTACAAGTTTAGAGAATGGCTTAACTGAAGCTTAAAATTTTGGCTAGCTTTGAATGGACAATATGACAATTTGCAGTTCCCTTGAGATAATAGTACGCATCTTTCCAGGTTTCAAGGGTCCTTTGCTGGTTTTGTTTTCATCATTGTCTTAATGTTCATATGTAATTTTGTTTCTTTATATCCCTGATGGGATTTGTTGTCTATATAATGTGATTGTTGAAGATATTTAATTGGAATATTTATTTCGGTGATACCAGTTTCAGATATTGCTGTTTAGTTTGTTATTTCTGAAGGAATTATTGGATCTGTGGAAGCGATTAGACCATTGCGGTTTGAAATGCGACGGATCATCATTGTTTACATTTATCTCTTATTACGTAGATCTATGCAGTATCTCATCGTGTTTGATTCCTCTTTACGAACTTTTCTCCTATGCATGAATAAACTCTGAGTCAGGCTAGTGGTAGATCTTCCAGACTGTCTCTTAAGGGGTAATAGAGCTGGTGTGTGGGTATTCTCTTACTATTACAGAGATGATCTTATCTCAGTCTTTGCAATCACCATGTGAAGACCTCTGAGGCTAATGACTATAAGTATAGAATATATATGAGTTTTAAAAAATCCTAACCCTAAGTTGAATGGGTTATAGGTTTATTGGGTTCTTTTTACAACACTAGGCCCTAGGGGGCTTTAGTGAAAGAGCAAAATCTAACAACTCCCACTTAGTCTTGGGTCAAACTTGAGCCCAAAGTCCAAGTCCATGTATCCCACTAGTCATCAACTGAAATTGCCTCATTTCTTATTTCGAGCTAGCCTAAGGATCTACCAGCTGTTATTAATCAAGGCTCCTGATAATTAACAAATGATTATATGATTCGGTGCTACTCTACTAAAAGTTCGAACTTGAACTCCAAGATTAATAACACATATAAAATGGATATGCATTGCCTTTTTGTAGAACGTCGATAATTGACTAATGAACTTTATGTCATTTAATTAATTATTCATTCCCTTGACTTTGATAGTCTCTCTAATAGATTACATGCATTAGCCAGTGTCTTTAATATACAAGTATCGAAACATATCAAGAGGACATATCCTACAAATTTCATGTTATTTATCTCATAAATATCAATAATCAAATAATTTCATTGCCAAAATATTAAGTTATTGACCGTCAATAGATCGGTCCTCACCCGTTGGTAGATCAAAGAATGAAGACTATTTAATTATCTATCTATGATAAATTTAACATTAAGATTAACCACATCTCTCGCTGATCATTTCAATGTGAATGTTAATTCACACCAATATTTTACAATGATTCGGATAAAACTATGTCATAAAATATTGCAGCCTAAATAAAGCGCCCAACTTTATTTAGTAGCTGTGAATCAATTCATCAACCGTGAGAACTTATGATCATGTCCTCCATGAACGTATCTAAATGATCATATACTCCACAATTAATCTGGACCTTTATGTTTTTAAATTGTGTGCACAAAACAATGAATAATCCTCATTTGTAAAATTCAGAAAATAATTACGTTGTTTCATTGTCTTACTCCAAGAGCACAATGAACACAATATTCCCCACTTGCTTAATGCAAGTCTGGGATTCTCCTTAGACCCAAAGAAGTAATATGCCTCTTGAACACAAATTCGGGCAAACTCTTAGTAACTGGGTCTACAAGATCCACCTATAATGCTATCCTAGTTTAGTGAAAAAATTGATAGCTCAAGGTCGATTTTCTTGAGTCAATATCCACTTGAAAAACTGAATCTGTGAAAGCTCCGCTTTTCAAGACTCCCACTAGAATATACCAGTATATATTCTCTCGTTCTCCGAAGATACTTGAGTACATGCTTAACAATAATCTAGTGTTCCGCTAGGTCTAAATTGGTACTGTTTCACTACTCCCACTGCGTGACAGATGTTTGGTTTAATGCCCAACATGGTATACATGAGATTACCTGTTATTAAAGCATAAGGTATCCCACTCATGCATTCTTCCTCCTCAGGAGTCTTTAAAGGTTACTCCTTAGGAAGATGAATTCTACGTCTGAGAGACATAATTCCCTTTTTAGAATTACCATGTAGAATTTTGACAAGAGTTTTGTCAATGTAAGTAGTCTTAAGGTATTGCCAACAACTTATTCTTTCGATCTCATAAGAGTTTTATACCAAGAATATAATTGGCTTCTCCAATGCTTACATACCAAAACGCTAACTTAGCTAATTCTTTATTCTTGATATTACTTCCATGTTGTTTCCAATAAGGAGCATATCATCTACATCAAATACCAGAAAAGCTACTGCCTTCCCTTGAATCCTTTACATACAAATACACACCATTCATCAATATTTTCTCAAAATCAAAATTTTAATAACATGATCATAACTGATGTTCTAAGACCTGGATGCTTTCTTAAGTCCATGAAATAGACTTTCACAATTTGCACACTGTGTGTTTCTGCCCAATTGCTATAAACCCTTTTGGTTGTTGCATGTAGATATTCTGACATGCAACTCCTAAAATAAAATCTCATAATTGAGACTTGCAGCAGCAACTAAGAGAATCTGGATAGACTCAAGTATGACGTATGGAAAAAGTTGCCTCCAAGCTAGCTTTGAAGATTTTCACTTTCCTGTCCATCCCCTCTTTGCTTTTTAGGTCCATATGCATCTAGTGGGTCTTATCCCTCTTGGCGCCTTTACTAGAGACCAAACAAAGTTGAAATACAAGATATTCAATCTCATGGTTTCTAGCTTTGAGCAACACTTGATCAAAAACATTTTCTAATACATTATCGTAACTAGTGGGATCAATGTCACTCAACAAGAGGTAACTTGAGAGTTAACAAGGTTCTCTCCCATTTCGAATGTACCACACTAGACCTTGTGTATTTATATGTAAATCCAAGCTTGGGTCATATGGTGGATCTTCAACAACTATTTGATATTGTTCTTTTATATGTGATACTAATATTTCTACTTGTTCCACTTATATATTATCATGTTGAATTTTCAATTATAGTTCTCGTGTTTGTTCACCTAAAGTTATATCTCCTAAAGGTATATCTTTCCCCTCTTTGAACAATCAAGGGAACAAAGGATGAAGCTTCTAGATGTTCTAAAAATTCTTGATATCAGATAAGTCTCATCAAGAACAACCTTACTTAAGAGCTTATAATTTTTCATCTAGTCTTCTAAGAAAATCACGTGAATGCTCACTTAGATCATCTTGTCATTTGGACTAAATAAGATCCCATCCCCGGTTCTCTTAGGGTAGCCAAAAGATATGTACACTTCCGTACAAGATTTCATCTTAGTTGACTGTTGTTATAGGACGTGCGTCGAAGCACCCTAAATTCGAATATGGTTTGAACGGAGCTTGCATCCTCTCCATAATTCTTTACATGTTTCTAGAATAGACTTGGATGGAATCAAGTTAAGAAGGTACATTGACTTCTCCTAGGCATTTCCCTAGAACAACATTGGCAAGGATGAATAATTAAACATGTTTAATTATTCAATTTCATAAAACTTACATGTTTCTAGAGTTGATAGATGTGAATATTATCCCCTCTTAAATCAGGTAAGACGTGAACTTACCAGACAGGTAAACAACATTTCAGTCTGACCAAAATGTTTTGATTTGGATACCTAGATGCTTTTCTGCCTCAGACTTAAACCTCTTGGAATTTTTCAAAAAAATTAGACTTATAGCGCACTAGGTTCATCTGTCCAAATCCAGAGTAACCATTGAAGTTCATAACCTCTTCTGACTTGAATGCTAATTGGTCCACATACATCAGTATGTACCAATTCCAGTTGAATAGTTACGCAAATCCCTTTGACCTTGTAAGATTGTTTAGCCATTTTACCTTCCAAATAGGACTTACATGTAGCTTTTAGCTTAAAGACTATGGAACTTTCAGTCTCTCTTGTAACTAAACCATGTTTCTTATTTGAGGTAATCTGATTTAATCATAAAGGTCAAAGATATGTTTCATTTGAAACTTTTATTTCTTTGGTGAATGTTCTTGTTCATCATCCTTTTAATTTCAAGATAATAATTTTAATGGGATATATGACATAGGTAATAAAGACTATTTAAACAATGTACTAGAACAAACAAGACACAGATGAACTTCGAAATGAAACTGAGGAATCAATTCATTGTCAAACCATGTTTTAACCAAATAACTAACAATAATTGAATTCCTCTTGAAATCCGGAACAAATAAACAGTCACCCAAAACCAAAGTCTTTTATTATCAAAAGATAAAATAACTTATTGCTAATGCTGACACAAGCTTCCCATCTTCAAGCTTAAAATTTCTTTGTCCAACAGTAACAGGCCCTCTATGTTTGAACCACTGCAAATAGCAACAAACATAGTTAGTGGTTCTCGCATCATAGATTCATCCACTAAATAAGCCTTTAAATTACCCATACATGGTTATTTTCATCACCTCTATGCAATTTTTCATCCAGTATCCCTTCAGTCTGCACTTGAAGCACTTTCCTTTTGGCTTCTTTGTAGCAACTGGTTTGACAATTGATAACCAAGGTATTTTGTTCTTGTTGCCACCCTTGGGTTTCCCTTTGAATTTAACAAGACTCTTAGCAAAACTTGTACTGATTGCATTCTGTCTAGCAGAAACATGTCATTAAGAGTCTGAAGCAAGCATCTATATCCTACTCTTAATCATGTACACTTGCTTATGCAAGTAGTTGGACAGACTAAGAATAATATAGCAGCGAACTACCATATCTGCCATGTCCCAATCTGAGTAATGCGTCTTAGTTTTCTCAGACGTACCTTTTACAGGTGGCCATGACTTTGGTACATAAAGACAAAATTCAACTTTTCATATTTAAGAACAACATCGAGGTTCGTTTTTTACTCTTCATAGTTGGTACCATTTAGAGGTTTCTGACTCAATTATTTCTAAAGGATTAAAGGAAGTCATTTTATGAAAAAACATACAATGCACACAATTACAAATATATAATGCAATAAACAAACGAAGTGCAAGTATATTATCATAACTACTATTGTTTATTGTTAACAATCATTCAGTTTTCTTTACAAGGCTTACGATGGGCAAGTCACTTGTAAAAACTAAAATTGTTATTTGGACTTTTGGTGCCATTGCCATTGCCTCGATAGGAGGGTTAACAATTTTACCAAAGTTGAATGTAATTAACCATTGTTTAATTTCAAAATTATCCT